CTGAAATGGGGCAAATTCCCCGTCATGGCAGCCCACATCACTTCGCACGGGGTCGGTTTGAGGGAAAAGGTGGGGATAGACCAGGGTTGGTGACCAACTCCAGGGTGCTAAGGCTGAGCTGGGCACCCCCTGTGTCGTGCTGGCAGCTGCTTTGGATGCAGGGTGATGCTCAGGGTCCTCCCAGTGATGCTCAGCTGAGCATGGCAGGGGGTTTGCCACTGGTGGGTGGTGATGGAGCTGCCCAGATCAGCCCTGGATGGGCAGAGGTTGCTGCTGAGACTGTGTCACATCCTCCTTGTTATTTGGGACTTCGTAGCTTGAGGTTTGGCTCCTTTTGGGGAGTAGGAGCTACTCAGAGAGCAACAGTTTCTGGTGATCCCATCCAGACCACCCTGGACCCCATCCCAGCAGGCTGTGGACTGGGTGGATGGGGTGACTTGGCCCAGGGCACAAAAGGGAGAGAAAAGCAGCAGAAAAAGGGGCTTTGAGTGTTATTCCTTGAGCTCAGCTGAATTCCCACTTCCCTTGTGTCCATGGACACACACGGGTTCTGCAAGACCCAGCTAAAAAAACCTAAAATTCACTCTTAAAACCCAACAGCTCCACTTCCTCCCTCCCATGAAAGCAGAGATGCTTTTGCGTGGGGTGTTTCCACGTGGGTCCTGCTGAGATTTGGGGCGGGAGAGGGGAACCGAGGGCTCGGCGTGGGAAGAACGGGTGGCCGCGGTCCACGTGACGGGATCTGCCAGGCCATGAATGGGGGAGATGCTCCATTCATAAACACAGGGTCCTGCTGCAGCCGCGCAGGCGTTGGCGCCGGCTCTGCCGGGAATCCCGGCCCCACTGGAGCTGCTCCTCCCTCTGCCACCAAATCCCCGCGGCTCTTTGCTGGCGCTCGTTTGGGCTCCGCTAACGAAGCAGAGTGAAAGCCCTGCTCAAATTACTGCTGGGATGCAGCGATGCTCGTGGCAGTGCTTACTGGCACAAGGGGACAAGAGATGTTGGCTGCGTTGGGCAGCTCAGCTCCTCAATTAATTTATTCTACTAAAATGCACTGATCTCATGAAATTGAAGTGGATTTTTTTTCCTATCACTTCTCAACCCCCCACCTCCATCCTTGGGTTTTTGGAATAAGTCTGATGGCACAGTGATGACTGATGTGGTGAACGTGGGAGGGGCAGGAGATGCTCCCAGCAGTGACAATCCAGGGCTAAACAGCTGCTTAATTAATTATGGGAGGCAATTAAAGGGCTTGAACTGAGGTGAACTGCAGCGAGGAGACCGACCTGGACTCCCAGGCCCCTGTCCTTGCTGTGTGGGGGCGTTGAGCCCATGCCCCCCAGGTCCCGCTCCTCTGCATGAGCAGGATTGCACGTGCCTGTGCAATGTCCTGAGATCCTTCTGTCTTTTTAAAATTAAGTAACATAAATAATAAATTTCTCAGATTTTTGGGGAGTAGGTGTCTGTTCCAGCTTGATCCCCAATGCCTGTCACCTCACAAGGGGCAGATAGGGGGGACACTGGCAGTGCTGGTGCCATGGGGCTGGTTGCTGGGGTTTGGTGTGTGTGGCTGGTGGACCCCTCGGCTCAGTGCTGACCCCCTGTTTTCCCCAGAGCAAGCTCCACATGGAGGGTTTCCGCAGCCTGAAGGAGGGCGAAGCCGTCGAGTTCACCTTCAAGAAGTCATCCAAAGGTTTGGAGTCCATCCGGGTGACCGGCCCGGGGGGCGTCTTCTGCATCGGCAGCGAGAGGAGACCCAAGGGCAAGAGCCTCCAGAAACGCAGATCGAAAGGAGACCGGTAAGGGGTGGCCAGGGCTGGGTTTGGGGCAAGGTCTGAGTCCCCTTGGGCACCCATACCCTACCCACAGCACGGGGCTGGGCTTGGGGGGACGGGCAGTGACCCTTCCTCTGGGAAAAGTGCCTTCCTTTGGCGCTTAATGAGTGGCAGATGCAGCTCGGTGGGGAAAGGGCAGCAGAGCAGCAGCGGGAGGGCAGGGGTCAGGGACACCCCGGGCAGCCGCTGCCCTCAGCCTGGGGAGCCGTGCTGGGCAAGGGTAATTTTTGGGAGGAGAAAACCCTTCCTTGTGGGGAGGAAATGGCCGGACGTCCTGGCAGCATCTCTCACGGTGAGGATGGGAGCCCCGGGGCGAGATTTTGGCCAGCCCTTCATTTCCCTGCTTCTCTCCCATCCTTTCTATCCTGGCTTTTCCCTGCAGATGCTGCCCACTCCACCAGGCTGCTCTCACGAGTGGGTTTTAAAATTAGTCACAAAGGAATTGGGAAAGAAAAGGAAAAAGCAAAGGGTTGTGGCCATCCTAACTGTGGGCATCCTAGACTGATGTGGGATTTAAAATGGGCATGAGGTAGACACTGCTGCCTGCACCATTCTGGTGTGAAGATGGCACCCGGGGGACAAGAGCTGTGTGGGTACAGCCGCAGGAGAAGCCACGTTTGGGGTTGTCCCCACACCATTGGCCGCAGTCCCTGCCCCTGCTGGAGCCATCAGTGATCCCATTGCCTGTCCCCGCTCTGTTGCAGGCTTTTGGTCTGTAGACACCGGAGCCAGAGCCATGAGGGAGCCAGAGGGGTGAAAGCCAAGCCCCCTCCCACCCCTTCCCTGACTTTTTGTCCCTGGTGCTTGGTTTCGGTGCAGGGGTTTGCTGCCATCTCCTGGGTACCAGCAGCACCACGGAGCCAGGTCCAAACCCAAGCTGGGGCTCTCATCCGTCCCCAAAAAGCTGACCCCACAGCAGCTGGGCTATTTTAAGCCCAGCCCTGGCTGCAAAGCCTGATGGGTCCCAGACATGGCCCCGGCAGCATCCCACATCCCACCTCGTTTTCTTTCTCCTCGAATCTCTCTCCTTCCTTCCCACCCCCCTGCAGATGCTACAACTTTTTTTTTCCACCATGCCAAAGAGTGCAAGCTGCCGCCGCAGCCCAAGAAATGCCACTTCTGCCAGAGCATCAGCCACATGGTCGCCAACTGCCCCGCGAAACAGCAGTCCCCCAGCTCCCAGGGCAAGCCCGCCTACTTCCGAGAGGAGGAGGACATGCACAGCTCGGCCCTCCTCCCCGAAACCCGGGAATGATGGCGGGTGGCGGGGACAGGGGGGCTGCCACCGGGATGGAAAAGGTTTTGGCAAGGCGATGGGCAGCCGTGGGGGCTCAGAGGAGGGCAGGGTGAAGGACTGGGGAGGGAAGACGGCAGCGCTAACAGCAGGGACCTGGTGTCCCTGCACAGAGCTTTTCCCAGCCTGGGGAAAGCCCGGCTTTAATCAGGATGGCTCAGTCCAAAAATAGGGGAAGGCAGCACCCAACACACCTCTTCCAGCTAAAAACCCCCGAAACCAACCATATTTGATTCATCTTTTCCTAAACAAAGCTGGGCAGTGGTGTCTCTGGGAGGAGGAGCAGAGAAGTGACATCTCGAGGAGGAGCTCATGGCTCCTCCTGGGCTTCAACCAGGCTCTGGCACAGCCTGGGCGAGCTGGGGGGGACCTGCTCCTGCGCCCGCCCCATCCCGGGTGAGGAGGAACCCTGGCTGCAGAGCATTGGGGGGTGCCCATGGGCTGGCCCTATGGGTCCCTTTGCTCCTCACAGCTTCTCACTTGCAGGTGGGTGCAAGGATTTGCAGTTTTCCTGTGGTTGCCCCATTTGGGCTCAGTCTGGAAGGAAACTGGGCATCTCTTGTAGTTGTGCTAAGGTTTGTTGCCTGCTCGGGGGAGATCAGGTCAAAAGAAAACCACTTTTTTTCACCCCTAAGCCTTCCCAGGTGCCAGCCAGGGAGCACACGATGTTTTATGCAGCCAACTCTCCCCCTGCCTCCAAAACATGGAGCTGGGGAGGGGGAGGGCTCCATGGAGCAGAAATGCTCTTCCTTCACCCTTGGCCTCCAGACACTGGGCAGAGCCGGCTCCTGGGGATGTTGCTGGCAGCGTTTCCCTCGGATACCATGCATGAACCCACCTGGGGCTCCCCCAGCTTCACCCACCCCAGGCCTTCCCTGGGCTGTGGATCAAACCCATGCAGGGCTTAAAACCCCATCTCTGCTCCTCCTGCCCATCCCAACCTCCAGAAACCCACAGCTCTTGGGCTGAACCTCCCCAGGGGCCCCAGGAAAGGGTGCCCAGGTTGATAGCAGCTGCCGTCCTCCCTCTCCACCGGCCCCCCCAAGTCTTGCCTTTATTTATTGGCCCCCTTGGACAGCCCCTCTCCCGGGGCGGCCTCCCCATCCGTGCCAAAGCCAGCGCCGAGTGAAACCTGCACTAGGACGTGCGTGAATGACGTATCTTTGGGTTCGTTTGTCGTCTTCGTTTTGGGTTATTGTTTAGGGTTGTTTTTTTTTAATATAAATATTGTGGTTTTGTATTTTTGTATATTTTAATCTTTAAGAAGAAAAAGGAAAAAAAAAAAGAGAGAGAGAAAGGACATAATTCCTGCAACTTATTCTCAGGTATGCGAGCAATCTCAGGGATAAAATGCCTCTGTAGCCCAGTGCTGGACAGAGAGGAGGGTTTCTTTCGAACAGCACAAAGACATGATGAAGTTTGTACTGGAAGTGTAGATCTACCTCACTGGATGTTTGCCAGGTGGACTGACGTGTTGTCAAGCTTTTTGGTTGTGTTTTTTTTTCGGTATGTTTGGGGTTTATTTTTCTTTAGAACTGTATTTT